ATTCCTGAACGAATTAATGTGATGATTACAAGAAAATTAAATAAATAAATAAATTCCATTAACTATAAGATTGCGAGAATTTGTAGAATAAGAAATCACCTGAAAATTGATGGGTGGAGGTGGATTACGTGGTTCAATACGCACAACTGCTGAATCCACTTTTGGCGGAGGCCGGAACTCCGTTCGTTTCACTCGCATCAAATGCTCGACCTGAAACGACACTGAAACTCGTCCTCTCGTTTATGAGCCCCTAACACAAGACCTCCGACAATAAAATGATTGCGAGTAATATTTGGAAGATAAATGCCCATCCGCATGCTCCTCGTTGCAAGCTACGAGTGAGAAAACGTAGGTTATCTCACTGCAGATTCGTGTTTGTATGTCCAGCATAAAATCGTTAACTGGGCATGAATATCCATCGTTTTCAGTGCAGAGAAATTCTTTCTCAAGAGAGAATTTGAAAGTGAAATCACTCAAAGATAATAACCTTGGCAAGGAGTTGAACATTAACACTAAGACGACAATAGGCTTTATCGCATGGTTTTGCGGTCAGACGGTCGGCGAATTCTTTTTGGAACATTAACACCGCATATCTATAATTAATGAACGATTATTGTTGTATTCATCAACAGAAATGATTCAATAACGTGAAAGCATGATAGTGATTGGGAAGAGATAAAATTCCATGATACGATCAATTTCAATTCATTAAAAAAAGCTAAATCCGAAAAAGTTTTCTGACGAATGCTAGTAAATGATATTTAGAAGTTTGTTGCTACAATGATCGTGATGGAATAAAAATCGTGGAATGTCAACAGAGCAACCGAATGAATCTGCTTCAAACAGAATGACGAATGGAAATGGAAATACTCACCTGGGTAAAGGTCTATGAAGTAGCAATTTGAAGACGAATGGCGAAGAGATTTGATAGGGTAAATTTGCGATGCAAACATCAAAAAATGGCCAATCGGCTTTCATCACATCGCCGGCCTGTATTTCTAATTTGTGCTGAGCTGGTCTGAAACACTTTCCTTGTATGCTTACGGAAAGCATTTGAATATGATGAAACGCCTGATAAATAATATGCACAACAACAACAACAACTAACGTTCCCAGTACCCGTTTCTTCAGTTCAGCAATCATACGCGAGTCAATCTCACACGCCACCACCTTCTTGGCATGTTCCAATATTTTCACGGTTAAATTTCCAGTTCCTGGGCCAATCTCAAGCACTGTGTCGGTGGGTTTTACAGCTGACTGAAATTCACATTAATAAAGCAGCCGAAAATATGACAACTGTTACGTTAAAAAAGTGAACGACACTAATGATTTTCGAACCGTTCTCTCACTGGTTCATGTGCCTAAGAGTGAATCTGCAACTGATTACAAACTGTGACGGAACTTTTACATTGGAAAAATGAATACCTTTTCAATAATTGCATTAACAATACCAGGATTCTTCAGTATATGTTGTCCTTTGTCTGTGTTGAACGGAAGCGCTGAAAATTTAAAGACTCGTTATTAAATTCTTAATGCTTATCACATCATGAACAGTTTGAAGAAAAAAGAAATAAAATATTTCAAATGCCAATGGTCATACATCATTGCAATGCGAAGAAATAGAATTAATGTCGTTTTCACTCAAAAATTCAGGTCTTGTTAAGCCGTCGTTGCATTATAATACTACTTTGATGTCACATTAAGAAGATTTTCGAAATAAAAAGAAGCAAATCCTCAAATTTATTACACTAAACGATTCAATCGTTTCTATTGTTACGGCAACATGGCTCAAAATCGATTTTAGCACACACCCTGACTAGTTGATGGAGTGCCTTTCTTTTTCAATTTCGGTTTCCCCATTACGGATGCCGAGAGATCTCTGAATCCAATTCAAATCCCAGTAAAATAGATACTCGTATCTCAGATTGATCGTCGAGTTCGTTGAATGACACTTCCTGAAGTAGGTCAAATGACAGTGTTCACCTGAAACAACTTCTCATCGGCTTGAAGGGACGAAAAAAAGCAAGACCTATGGGATATACAATCAGATCATCAAAAAACGGACGATCCGGCTGACCAATCGTTCAAATATCAACCGTGAACACTCTGCCAAATGCATTAGCCAATATATTTGGCAGACAGTCTACGAGCCTTGATGACTTTGTAAACGTGTTTCCGTTATATTGTTGCTGGCTGTCAAAGCTGAAAACTACAATTGGATATTAATTTGCGGGGAGGTTGGGTTTGTCATTTTGATTGACATTTCGTCTCGTTATTTGTGAGGTGTTCATTGAGAGAGATTGAAGTGATGATTGGTTAGTGAACGAATAGATTCATTGAAATAATGGAGATTTTCAGCAGCGAAGTAAATGAATTCAAGTGATGCATGGTATGGTGGAGTAATGAGCCAAGCTAGTAATGCGCTATTCTCGGATTCGGGTTATCCAAGACATTGTGATCTATGTCCGCCATCGATAACGTT